CGAGAGAGAGAGAGAGAGAGAGAGAGAGAGAGAGAGCTGAAGAGAGGGATAGAAGAGACACTGAATGAAAGAAAGACTGTGTGAGCAAGTGAGCGACTGTATAGGCAAAGAGGATGATCGCATCTGGAAAGTACTGTCAGAATAAGAAAGAGAAGACGAAAGGGTAATGGAAAGAAAATAAGAGTCAACAATGGGGAAAAGGAGACGGAGTGAGAAACAAAAAGAGAAGATGAGAAGGAATTGAAGAGAGGATGAAAAAGAATGGAAGAACAGAAAAACAAATCGAATACAATATTAAACATTAAAAGACATAAACAAACAAACAAACAAAATTGCCAGCAGCGCATCACAGTGTTCATCAAAGCACAAGTATCAAAAAAGCAAGTTAGGGATAAGTAAAAAATAAACCCACGAAAAAGAAGCATCAAACCAAATTTTCAAAGATTAGGAAACTGTGTAAACATTGTCCGTGAAAAAAAATGAGAACAGGACGTCTTTGGTAAAAAAAAGAAAACAACAACAACAACAACAACAACAACAAAAACACAAACCAAAACAAACTCCACGAACGCACGCAAGAATGCAATTACAGGTGAGTGAAATCAACGTAAAATAAAAACAGGGGGGGGGGGAGGGGAAGGGAGGGTAAACGGCAAAGATTAACGTATTAAGAGGTCGCCAGCAAAATGAAATGCCAGTGTTATCTAAGAAACGCAACCAAAATTTTTTAAAATAAAATCAGTGGGCAAAGTAAAAACGAAACAAAACAGGGGGCGGAAGGCACAAAGATTGGAACGGCAGCGCACTGGGCGGGTAGCCGAGCGCTTGCACTGCGTTCCATCGGGCAGCGAGCCAAAGAAAATACTCACCGCCTCAGTATTCACCACAGGCTGAAATACAGGGACAAACAGACAAAGGTTGGATGGTGAGACAGAGCGAGATCGTGATCTTGGTTGGGTACAAGTGCGTGTGTGCGTGCGTGCGTGCGTGTGTGTGTGTGTGTGTGTGTGTGTGTGTGTGTGTGTGTGTGTGTGTTGATGTCTTGTGTGAGAGTATGTGTGTGTGTGTGTAAGAGTGTGTGTGTGTGTGTGTGTGTAAGTGGGTGTGTGTGGGTGTGTGCGCGCGCGTGCGTGCGTGCATGTATGTGTGTTTGTTTACGTGTGTGTATGTGTGTGTGTGTGTGTGTGCAGCAGTGTGAGAACTTAAACAAACACACAGATAGAGGAATTATAAGGTCATTCAAGCCTGACGAAGACTTTTACTTTTCAATGTAGGTATTTTCTACCACCCACATCGACACAACATAATTTAGGAGACAGGCTTCGGTCCTTATCTGCCAGGGCTAAGCCGAACTGAGAAGTATACAACTCTTTGCAGAAAAATCGAGCTAGATACTCCATAAAAAAATCTCCCCATATGGGTATCGCACCCTGGTCTTCTGCGTGTGACGGCAAAGCGCCTAACCGATACACCACAAATGCTGAGTGATGTGGGAGGTTAGTAAGACTTTCCTCTCACGTCACTGAGGCTCACAAAGACTTGGAACAGAGTAACCGTTTACTCCATCATATCCACAAAAAACAAACGTGATCAGCAACATGGTTTGTTTCTTTTAACTACAGAGAAGCACACTGACACAGTAACGGCCATTTTAGCGCTGGATCGATCATGTCATCAAATTCCAGAACTGCGACAAACATCGCGATGATGGTTCGCCATTCATTCCTTTGCTAGAAAGCTAAAAAAAACAACAACCCCATAATATATATATTAATTTTATGTATTATGTGTGTGGTACATATAATATTATTATTATTATTATTATT